CTGTCCAGCTGGTGGCGCCCTGTCCGTGCTCCCCACCTTTGTTTTCTATCAATAACGAGTATGATCCAGGTGGGTATATTTGCTGTAACCTTCACTTACCGGGAGACAGAATTCCCGTGACCATAGGGTTTGAGAAATGCCCACGAATTGCACTGAGTGAGATTTTTTCGAGGTGGATCCCTGGTGGGCTGTCTAAAGTGAACATACACCCGTAAGGATGTAGTGTTCGCTTGCATTCTCCAAGGTGTCCAGTGGAATTATTCAGAGCTTCTTTAGCTTATATGGCATCACTTTCATTTTCTTAGATCTTACATCCATTTGTGCAAGGACTATTCGTGTGTACTTCAAATCGATTATCATACATATTTGAAAGATAAAATTAGTATCTGTGTTATTCACTTTATCTCACCTAGGATATTACTTATATATGCATTTGAGTTGGGTTTTTTTTTTTCAGTGCACATTACTCATGTTTATTCAATAATTATACACTTAATAGTATTTTTCTGGGACTGAAGTATCTTCAAGAGAGTCTTTTAAATGTAAAAATTGGGCCCTCCCTGGTGACACAGCGGGTTAAAACACCACACTAAAGCTAAAGCCACTTCAGCATGAGTTCGATCCCTGCCCCTGGGTGTGATCTACATAGCGCAGCAGACCTCTCCTGTCCCACTCGCTGCTCCCCTCAGCAGTGTATTTCAGTAGATATGGCTGTTCAGCTCCCTACTCTGTCTCTGGTGAATCCTCTAACTGCCCCCGCACTTCTGGCCTGTATGCATAAATAAATAAATCTAAAAAATGTGCAAGTATTTTACTTTTTATAAAGATAGCAATTTCTGTTCAGTATTTGGAGATTGTTGCCGTTTTCTCTTTTTTCCAATCACTGAGGTCTTGAGCAGAATCTGAGGCAATGGTTAGCCAGGTTCCTACTTTCCAGGGGTTTTTCCCCAAGTCCGTCATTTCTTCTTCTAGCCAGAGTGTATTATCGCTGGGCAAACAGTACATTTTGGTTCACTGTATAAATGATCAGAACGGTCTGGCATCAAGGATCGGTTGCAGAAATCACACTCAATGGAATAACTAAAGATGAAATTTCAACAAGTAATGTGCTAGCCGTGGCGGCTTCCAAATGCTCTGAGGGGGCTATAGAGGCTTCGAGCCCGTCTAACTTCCATGACTTTTAATTGGTCCTTGCCAAGCAGAACCATCCAATCACGTTTAAAATTATGGTTATTGACAAGGTTGCCCTCAGCATTTCATCCAATCAGCTTAGCAGGCCAGATCCACCTCATTTGAATACAGTGGCATAGAAATACACTGTGCTCGGTCCCCAAGCACTAGTTTCTTTCAGTGGGCTCCTTCAACTCTCTGTTGGTAATACCTGACGTTCTTTTCAGTCTGCCTTTACCAAGAAAGGTATTAGGAAATCACACATTTTTACTGTTGTCAGACCCCAACAGTATTTGCTCATATATCCGATTGCATAGTGTTTCCAGGAACACCACGATTTTCTGACCACATGACATGATTTCCTACCCTAAACCTTCATTTCTGGAAGAAAGTCATTATGGACTTCTTTCTTAAGTGATACTTGCTTACCGTCCCCCGCCCCGTTGTCTTATTGTTCTGCTCCCCACTCTGTCTCTGGTGAAGCCTCTCACGGTCCCTTGCATCTCTGGTCTGTACCCCAGTTCTGTATGCATAAATAAATAAATCGTTAAAATATATATATTGAACCAGTTTCTTAGCAGCTCATTTTTGCTACTTTTCTGCACCACCAGTTACAGCATTCCTGATGACCTAAATGTTTCAGAGTAATTTTATTTCCCGCTTTAATCTTTATTGTCCACAAAAGTTGAAGGAATAAGAGTTCTGTTAAGCAAAATTTTTTACATTGTACAATTTAAGGGTTTCCAAAATAGTGCCATCGTGATCCTCATTTTGGTATATGTTCTGTATTTTGGAGATCGTGCTTGTGTCATTTCTCAGCAGAATCTCTGAGATTTCTGATCAGAGGTGGAAAGAGTAGCCACCATTTCATTCATGGATTTTCAGGGCACACTACTGACCCTGTCAGGAATAGATACTCTAGTCACGCTTTCTCTAGGTAAACTAGAAGTTAAGAATTGTAGGCAAAGAACCCAGCGTGAGTGTCCTCATGGCGGTGTGGGTTTGGATTGTGGCCGCCAGAATCGCTACTGATTGGTCTTGGAGCCAAATCTGAGTCAATGGTTAGCCATGTTCCTACTTCCAGTAGGTCTGCCCTAAGTCCGTGATTGCCTGTTCTAGCCACAGAGGGTTAGCGCTGGGCAAACAGTACGTTTTGGGTCACTGCAATAAATGACCAGAAGCGTGTGACATCAAGGATAGGTAGCGGAGGTCACACACTCAATGGCCTGACTAAAGCTGAAATTTCTAGAAGTAAGGTGCTCGCCGCTGCGGCTTCCAAATGCTCGCTCAGGGGGCTGCAGAGCTTGGAGACAGTGTACTTTCCATGGTTTCTAATTGGACCTTGCCAAGTGGAACCATCCAATCACATTTAAAACCATGGTTATTGACAAGGTTGCCGTCAACATTTCCTCCAATCAGATTAGTGAGCAGACCCACCTCTTTTGAATACAATGGCATAGAAATACGCTGTGCTCTGTTGCCCAGCATTAGCGTGCTTAGTTGGGGTGCTCAAACTCTATGTCCGTAATATCTGACATTCTCAGTCTGCCTTTACCAAGAAGGTAATCAGAAAGCCATTTTCAAAATTAGAATAATGCTGTGAAAGAGATGCCCCAATGTAGCGTATTCCATCTCTTTCTACAAGGTTTTGAAACAGGTTCATCTTAATGTCATGATTTCATTCAAAGTCATGTGCACAATAAATTAATAGCCTAATGATCAAGGCGTGCAAACTATACCTTTCCTCTGGATCACCACCCCACGGTTCCACCATCACTTCCAGAGAGATCCAGGCTGCTGTAGGCCTACCGCCTGTGGATACCAGCGAGCAGGCCTTGAGCGAGGCCACCAAGGCCCTCCTCAGATACACCGGCTGCCAGTGAGCCGCCTGCCTCAGGCCTCCAGAGCCCTGTGAATCAAAGGCTCTTTTTTGAGCATCTTACTCGGTGGGGAAAAATCTCTACTTCTGAAACCTGTGAGATCCTCTAACTGTTGATTTTTTCCCCACTCTGATTACAAAGAACATATTTTTATCGTGAATAAAATGTTGTCTACCGCAGGCGTATTTTCTCATATCCGAGTGCATAGTGTATCCAGGAACACCACAATTTTCTTAACTACAGGTCATGATTTCCTGTCCTAACTTTCATTTCTGGAGGAAAGTCATTATGGCTTTCTTATTAAATGATATTCTTCCAGCCCTGGTTTTTGAAATTTCTTTCATTTTAGTTTATCTTTTTCTTTTTTTTCCTATTGCAACCCACAAATTTTAACTTTGAATATACAGCCCTTCATGGATTCCATCTCTTGGATGATGGGAATTTCCAGTGGGAAAAACTCAAATCTCATACCTCATAGGCATCTGTTTGGAGTCTTAAGGTCACAGTCACTGGTCCAATTTGCAGGGAGGAGAATGAGTAACTAATAAATCTTTCTTAAGATGTGAAGTCTGCAGCTCAGGAAGGAGGGGATATTGTTCTTTGACTGCTTTCTTTGTTTTGTTTCCTTTTAATTTTGTTCATGTTATGGAATAACTTGGTCCACAAAATGGCATGGGATGTGTCAGTAGTCCCTTGTATAAAATTAAAAGTGGAAGGGCAGAAAGTGCGAGAGCTAATTTGACTCATTTTCTCATGCTATTTAAACGTTAATATTTATGATGAAGTAAATAAAATTACTAGTGTGTATTCTTCTTATCCCATGGGTTTTATTTTTTTATTTTCTTAGAATGTTACTATAAATAAGCCCCGCCCCCCCGGTGGTACATTGGGTGCACTGTGTGACTGTCTACAGCCATTGAAGCACTAGTTCAATCCCAGGTCAGGGATCTGACCCACATGTTACTGCAGAACTCTCCTGTAGCATCTGCTGCTCTCCTCAGCAGTGTACTTCATTGAATCTGCCAGTTCTGTTCCCCACTCTGTCTCTGGTGAATCCCTCATCCCCTGGTCTTTACTCCAGTTCTTGTATGCATAAGGAAATAAATATTTTTAAAAGAATAAAATTATAAATATAAATTATAAATATTGAGTATTGTTCATTTTCTCATTTCATTTCTAGTTCATTTATTTTTCTGCCATGATACTCATGTCAGGAGAGTCCATAATGAGGATAGTCCTTAATAAATACCATGTTTGTTTTAATGTCCAAAATTCCATCTTTGTATGTATGTATATGTGTATACATGTGTATGTATGTATACACATATACATTTATATATGTACACATATATTTACATAAATATTTGTTTCATTTGCACATTTATATACACACATATATTTACATATATATTTGTCTCATTTGCACATTTGTAATAATTCAGAATAACCCTCATGGATTAGATGTAGAAATCTATAAATATATCAGTCCAATCACGACAGAAAGACAAGAATATTAACATCAAAATTTGCCTTAAACACCGTTCAGCCTTCAACATTAAACCCCATTGTTTCCTATTTCTTAGATCTCCCTCTTGTGTATCTTCCTTGAGCTTCCAGAATTCACTACACCACTCAATGATGGTGCATTTTTCATATTTTTTTAATAGTACTTCTCTTTGATTTTTAAAATTGTGAAATGATGA